TGTTTTGTAGTTGGTACGCAAGGGGTGAAAATCTGCCTGTGTAGAATGAGGGTAAATTGAATGTCAGCGTTGAGAAAAAGTTTGCTTAGTGATTTAAAATCTTGCTTTAGGTATCCTTGGCAAAGGATGCCTTAATGCACTTTGTTCACTAATGGGACCAAAAAAAAAAGTGGTCCCAAGCTCAGCTTCAAATTTTCTACATTCAGGTTCTCCAGGTACAAAGATGTACTAAAATTTGCCTTATGATGAAATGAGCAAGATGATGAGTACACACATGCTTATAGTTTTTTCTTTTTATATAATAGAAAATAAATGTCAGTCCATGTTCCACAGCTTTCCCTGTATATGCCCTGCTGTCTCCTGAATTAAATGGAGAAAAGGCTGACACTCTGTTAACTAGAACCATTGCTTCCCACTGACATTAATAAGGTAAAATATATACATACATGCAGTATGCATACAGTATACTGCAGTGTTATTTTTGTAGTATCTCTGATAGTAAAGAAATAGACCTGCTCAAAAATTATAGAAGTAGACAGATCCCCAAACTTTACATTTTATAATTGAGCTCAAGGTTGCCAATACAACCTAATGTACATTGTCCAGGTGGTCTGGCCTAGGATGTTTGGAAGGCAATTCAAATAGCAGGAAATATATAACAGTTTGACAGAAGGCGATTGATACAAAGCTATGATAAAAAGTTGCAAGGGGAAGTGAATTTTAAAATAGGGTTGTTGCCAAGTTTCTGCTTAACAGAAAGGAATATATTATTGCCACAGTATATGTAGCAAAGTTCTGTACCTCCTGTTTTGCCAGAAATATTAAATCTAGAAGCTGATTTTAGCAGTGAGCAAAATGAAAACACTGTTCAGTGTTTGACCATGCAATGCTGGCAGAGATCAAGCTGAATGGAACTAACACCATGAATTTGAAAGGTACCCCATGACGTCACACATTTTCATTTTAAACATAGACTGTGAGTCTAAAGACAGATCTTCTTTTTGGCCAATGGGAGGAGGATGGCCTGTTATCTAAGGCCTTGCTTAGATAACACATATTCAGCACAAAATACTTCATTCTTCACTTGGAGCTAAACCACATTTCTCTAATGGACTATCAGCATGCACATAGGTTTGTGTGTGTATATGTATATATATCTGTGAGTATACACACCGCCAGTATAATTGCAGATTATAGTGTAATGCGCACATATGCACATATATACATACATACACACAGATTGAAGACAGCTAGTCAGGTGTTCCTTTTCCACTTGTTCCTTGATCCATTTCGTATTGTGTATGACTATGAGGAAACAAGATTGCTATAAATGGTATTTCTCTGGATATTTTTTAAGGAACAAAATCTGTTTATTTTACAATACTTGATTTAATTAATGATTAAATAATAAAAGCATCCATTTGAAAATGTAGCTTCTGTGGTCTGTGGGCTATTGCTTGGTCCAAGAGGATTGATTGAAATCTAGGGGAACGGTGGTCCTTATGTAAACACAAAAAAAGGTACTTGAATACAGAGTGCAGATTGTATGGAGGTTTTGCCTGTTCTTTGAACGTTTTACAAGTAGGAATGAAGTAGTGTGATATAATGCCATGTTTAACAAAGGCATATTTATGAATTTTCATCTGCTGAGATGCAAGCAATGAATATAACAGATGCATCCTATGTCTGTATAATGATCGTTCCAAGGAGATACAGAACACCAAATTCATGATTAGAGCAAACTGTAGAGTAGTCCCTTTAGAAGACAGCAATGTTGTCTTTGAAGAGTCAATACTCTTGTCTACCTTGATGTAGAGGAGAGGTGGGGAACCATTTTTTATTCTGAGGCCAATTAAGATTTTCAGTGTGTTAGGCTTCTACATGTTGATGCATGCAGAAGCAGGGGAGAGGGGAGAATCTTTCAGTAATGGGCCTTTTTCCATGATTTATCTAGTAGACCAAATGGAATAATTATTTTTTTAGTGTAGCTTAACAATTCATATTGTTCAGGGTCTAAGTCTTTCCTCCTCATGTTCTTTTGTCACAGCTATATGTTCAGGTATGCATTCTGGCCAGATCTGCAGCCTTGACTTTGATCTTACATGTTCTTGCAGGGGCATGGAAGTGTCCCATGGACTGTATGCTGACTTACGTGCAGTCACCATTTGAGGGACCCAGCATAAACGTCCCCAACTTGACCAATCTATCTTTTCAGCAGTAACTAGGATTTCATAGGATTTCATCAATGTCATCCTTATTAAGCTTGTTGAGGCTGCCCAATTATGAGTCATGATAACTTTTATATATATATATATATATGTATATGTATATATATATACATATAGGGTTTTTATAGTTTCAATCATTCAGCAGACAGGTAGGTAGTGACCACCTGATATGTTCAATTTGTTCCATGCTGTTTTCTTTTTTGTGATTTTTAGGTCAATATCTTATAAAATGAAGCAACACACCTGCACAGGTTGCTCATGCAGTGGTGTACTAGTGATTGTCTTGTAACACCAAGTGTTAGGTATTTTTATATGCTGATGTTTTCCACAGTGAAAGTCTGTATTCAGATTATCAGAAAGCAAAGCACAGTATTTTCCAGTGTTGCTGGGTTTGCCATCCATTTAGAAATTATAATCTAAAATTCTGAACTTCAGCCTTAATCCTTGTCTTTTCCATGTGGAGGAAAGCCTTGGTCGCTCCTAAGGGGCCTGCAGGAAGACAGCGCCATCCAGATTATACAGAGCTATATATTTGTATTGAGCTTTTCGAAGTGAAAGAAACACTCTTCACATTTTAGCCTTGCTTTAGCACTTGGTTTTATATAGAAAAGCAAGATCCTAAAGAGATGTTAACAGTGCTTCAGTGTGGGTGGAAATCTTCTTTTGGAACTTGAAATTTAGTCCATATATGTGTGCAAAGTGGAGTAGGTGGGTTGTGATTCATGCAGAGGTAGAGTAGTACCTTCTGAAGTAGGCTCTTACGTTACCTCTGCTGCTGGCCTCTGTTTTGGAATATCTTCAGCTCTGAGGCAGCTCTGGTTTAGAAGCATGGAAATGTATTGGAAAGGCACTGCGTCTTCAAACATATTTTTTGGTCTCATTCTCCCACAGTGTGACTGACAGGCATTATTAGTGCTTGAGAGAGGCACAGAGGTAGCAAAAGACAGAGTGCTGGAGCAGCCCCGAGATAGATCATTCAGAACGACAGGGAGGCTGGAAACCTGCCATTGCTACGTGCCTGAGCTCTGTCCTGCCGCTCTGCAAAGCAAGTCTGCACCTATTCTTCCTTTTGTTATTTCTCAGCTCCAGTCTGCATTCCCAAATGACAGAAAATACTTGCAATTATGTTTGAAATCCTAACCCAAATAAAAGCACTAGGGCAGGGATGTGAGCCCCAGGCTTTGATTCTCTCTTTTTTTTTTTGCCCCAGTTTTTACATCCGTTGACTTTAAAAAGGATTGTCCTGATTTTCTTGGAGGTAGGCCAAAGGACTTAAGCCCATGAATCCCAGGTTCCAGGGGGTCAACAACGCAGTAGAGCAGGAACCCCTGTACTAACAACTCAGCAATCCTATTAAATAATGTCTTTGGAGAAAGCACTGCTTTCTGCTGCTAGCAAAACTGCACAGTTTCTCATGAACTATTTCCCAAGGCCAGCGCAGGTGTGTTTTAAAATGTATAATTCAATGACATTCTTCTTGGGAGGATTGTTTGGGCAGTGTTATACAGTTTCCTCCAAGCGGGATGAGAACAATTCTCTTAGCAGGTGCCCTGTTACTTTTGTA